AGGCCGGTGGATGACATTGTCATCATCATCATTATCACTGACATTCACGGTACACTGTAGGTAGAATGTGCTGGGTGATTCGTGCATGATGCTCCAGGACAGCCGTGCCCTCACTGCAGCCACTGGTGGATGTGTGTCCTGTGTGATCCACAAGATTGTCATCAGGTCTAACCACAACACTGGGGGACATGGGGTCCCCCCATGGGCCACAGAGTCTGGGTACTGTGTCCTCACACTCACAGGGTGGCTCTGCCCCCCCGGCCATGTCCTCGGTGCAGGTAACTAATTCAGCCACTCTCTCTGTTCGGCCTAAGGGCAGGTGCAGAAAGCAGGGGGGCGTCTTCAAAGAGGAGGGCACAACGCCTTGGGTGTCCAGCCATGTTGTATCAAATGGCAGCATGTCCTTCTTTTTATAGCTGAGCGGTATTCCACTGTGTATATACCACATTTTCTTTATCCATTCATCGGTCAGTGACACTTAGGTTGTTTCTAGGTCTCGGCTATTGTGAAAAATGCAGCAGTGAATGTAGGGTGCAGATGTCTCTTTGGGATAGTGATTTCCTCATGCGAAGTGAGATGAGTCAGACAGAGAGACAAATACTGTGTGATCTCACTATGTGTGGAATCAAAAAAAAAAACTCATAGAAACAGAGATCAGATCTGTGGTTGCCAGAGGTAGGAGTTGGGGAATTGGGTGAAGGGGCTCAAAAGCTACAAACTTCCAGTTATAAGATGAACACGTTCAGGGATGAAATGTGCAGCATGATGACTACAGCTGACAACACTGTTCTGTATATTGGAAAGTTGCTAAGAGATTAGGTCTTAAAAGTTCTTAAAAGTTCAAAGCAAAAAAAACTTGTAACTATGTGAGGGGATGGACGTTAACTAGACTTGATGTGGTGATCATTTCACAGTACATACAGACACCAAATCATTAGGGTTGTCCACATGAAACTTATACAACGTTATCTGACAATTATATCTCAATAAACCTGGGGAAAGAGGAGGACAGCAGGGGCAGGAAGCTGAGTGGGCGGTGCTGGCAGAGGAGGGTGCCCGAGGCCGAGGCTCGGCTCCAGCACTAACCTGCCGGGTGCTCTGCAGGAGGCTCTGGGCCTCTGGGGTCCCCTGTTCTTCATCGGTAACATCCCTGCTCCCTCCCAGCACTGCTGTCCCCGAGGGGTGAGGCTGCTCAGGCCTAGGTGACAGAGGATCCAAAGGATCAGGTCGGATGACCCTGACCCTCTGGGTCCTCACGGTGCACTTCACTGAGTGGTCAGAGGGCTCTGGCAGAAGTGGCCTCCTTCCCAAGAGACTGAAGTTGGTTTACCAGATGGGGCCATTTTAACCTCTGACATGGCCGATTAAACTCTCAGTTCTGGGAGGAAATGCAAAACTATCGATCCAAGTTTATGACAATGTCGGGGACGTGGTTGATGAATCCTGAACACAGACTGAATAACCATAGTCTGCCCAGGGTAGAAACTTCAGGATCATTCTAGACCTTTCCCTGCTTCGTTCCCATAATGGTGACCGCAACTGTCACGTCCTCAGCCTTCCTCGGTCCAGGGCTGACCTGAACCAAGTCCTCGAACCCTCCAACAGCCCACAAGGCAGGATGGCTGTTCCCGCTCAGGAGGCAAGGGAGCTGAGCTGAGAGAGGTGCACACTCGGGCGGCTCAGGGGTCCACAGAATCCCCTCCACTGGCTCTCAGTTCCCCAGCATCTGGTCAAGTCTGTCCCCTCCCCAGCCCAGCCTGTCTGCCTGTCCCGCTGCTGCTGCTGCCCAGAGCCTCAGCGTCTCTCACCTGGCCAGCTGCCACTGTCCCACAGGCAGTCCCCGCAGGTGCCCCTGGGTACACGCCAGGCCGCAGCCTCACCTTCAGGGCACCTGGGCCTCGTAGCCTCCTGAGCCCTCTCCTCCCCACCTGCCTGGCTGGGTCACTCCCCGCTCTGCCTAGGAAAGCCCTCCTGCCTTCTCTGCCTGGTAAAGCCCCTCATCCCATACACTCCTTCCAGGAGGGTGGGCTCCTGGCTGGGTTTTCCCGAACCCTTTCTCTGTCATTTGGAAACTTCAATATTGTCTCTCAGTGCTGTCAGTGTTGTGGGTGTGAAGGGCTTGCTTGGCATGTCTGTGCCCCCTGCTCTCAGAGGCACAGAGACCCTGTCACAGTGAGATGTGTCACATGACAGGTAACCTCAGTGCACTGTAACCAGACCCCTGGAAATCACTCTTACTTGCTGTGTGACCTAGGGTAAATCATTTAACCTCTCTGTGCCTCTGATTTCTCATCTGAATGCTACCCACCCCGCACGGCTGTCACAGGGGTCGAGTGAAGAAGTACAGCACCTCCAGCAGCCCCGGGCACCCAGTGCTGTTGGGGGTCCCGTCCCCGGGTGTCGGCCTCCTCGCGGGCTCTCGCTAACAGTGTGTGGGCTGAAGGAAGTCCTGGAAGCTGAGTGCTCTGCATGGACCTCACCTCTCAGGGCCATCTGTAGAGCCTGCACTGGGACTGTCCCCACATTACTGTGAGGGACGAAAGTGGTCCCAGCCAGGAGCCATGGGGTCTGCCTGCAGTGACCCTGCTCTTAGAGGCTGCCGTGACCGGGGACGATGGGGACGGAACACAGGCATCTGAGTCACAGAGAGTGGGGAAAATCACTGTAAATCTGTTTTTCCAAATCACATTATTTTAAATGCTTTGGGTGGACGCCCATGTGACAAGGGACACTCAGCTGAGCCAGGGGGGCTTTGTCCCTTGAGAGGCCCCATTGTGACCCCGAACTGGTCCCGAGTGATTCCAGAACAACAGGCCCTTGTGTGGGCCCCGCAGCCCTGCTCACTCCGCCCCCGGCTGGCGTGAGGACCCTCTGCTGCCTCTGTAAGGTCAGCACAGGAGGCTTAAACCCCCCATTTGGGCTGCTGCCGGGTTCTGATCAGAGATGCTTCTTGAGTTTGGTTCTAGGATGTCGATGAAGCTCAGCTCCTGTAAACTGCGTCCTCTCCAGGAGAAGGGCAGGTCCAGTGGGACCAACTGTGAGCAGAACAGGGGCCAGGGGGAGGGTTCCCAGAGGAGGACTACATGTGGATGAAGCCCCTCCAAGGCCACCCTGCCCTGCCCTGGGAAGGCCACCAGGAGAATGCCCCCAGGAGGTGCCCCAGAGCCCCATGAACAAGGGGACCCCAGCCACTGTAGTCACAGACGACAGCCTCCAACATGTCCTGGGTGGACGTGACCCACAGCTGCCTCTTGCTGTGGGCCCTCTCCTGATGCACACCCTCAGCACATACTTGTGGGGACCGTGGTTTGTTCTGTCCTGCAAGCTTTGGCTCTTGGTCACATCGGAGACATCAGTTTCTTCTGAATCCTCTCTCAGGCCCATGCAGGCATTCAGCTTTTTGTTCCAGGAGCTTAAAAACCCCCAGTTCCTCACCTTCTTTACAAAGCATCAGCTGGTCTGGGTGGGCCTTTGGCTTTGTAGGGGCTGCAAAGTGGAACTCAGCAGCTGCCTGAACTGGCGTTGTCGTGACTTTGCAGCTCACAGTAGCCAGCCCCTTTCAATAAGGACCTGGACTTGGCCACGTGGTCTGCTGCTGACCCTGTCAGTGGTCTAGAGCTGTCCCAGCCTGGATTCATCTCCTGCTGAAGGCCCCTGCCCACTGGCATCAGGGCCACTACAAGTTCTCCTGTCACTGTCACTTCCTGAGAGGCTGGAGGACAGATCCGCATGGGTACAAGTCTGGGTTCCCTAGGGCTGTAAGCAAGCACAGGGCCCCAGGGACAGAAGGAGCAGGCCCGAAACCAGCTCCAGTTCTCCCCAGCTGAGTGAGTCTGCTTCCTCACCTGTAAAGGACAGGTGGCATCTCCTGTGGCCATGGGGAGGACAACAGGAGGCTACAGAGATGTAAGGTCCTTACCCAGTGCCTGGGTCAGGCAAGAGATCCAAGAATGGGAGGCAAGGTGGTTACGCAGGCGTGGATGTGGGTCCTTTGGGCTGTCATGTTTGGGTGTTGATGCTACCAGACCTTTGGTCCAAGTCAGGGACACCAAGCAGGCAACACGAAGGAATGTCCCACCTGCCCTTGGAGTGGCATCAAGCTATGCCCCAGAAGTTCCTTCATACCCAAAACCCAGAGGCAGAGAGGTGAGGCATTCCAGTCACAAGAAGCTTTGGGGGCCAGACACCATCCCACATCTCCAGGGACCAATGGTCCCAGCACACAGTAGGTGCTCAGTCGATGCCCCTTCTCTGCAGTCTGACACCTTTCAGCTATTGCCCAGCAGGCTCCTTAAATGCCCCTTCCCCAGCCCCTTCCTCCCCAGGCACGTGGGCTTCCAGGGGAGCAGGGCCCCCAGCAGGAGGCCTGCCCATCAGCCAGCACTTGAACTTGCCAACACTCCCCAAGGAGCTGGATGCAGACAGAGCTGAGCAATGAGATGCATGAGCAAGGGATCTGGACCAGGGCGGGTTGGGGGAGAAGGGTGGTCTGGGGGAAGGAAAAGCAAGACCAGGAAAGAACATTGTTTGAAGCTGACCATCCCATAACATCCAAGGAGAATAGGATGCAAATCAAACACCGAATGAAACTGCGAATTTCACACTGACTCGGGATGAGAGGAACGAGAGAGACTTGTATCAGAGCATCATCTACAAAGGCTTGGACTAATAAGGGTTTTATCCTGAGACCAATTTGCAACTGAAAAAGAGGAAATAAAGACCATATGAGAGTTTCCTTAAAGAGAATGTGCAAAATTTCAAAACATTGAGAAACCCTTGGGAAATTTAACTAACCCTTTGGCTTCTATTATTCTGGGTAAGGGTCAGCAACACGCTTCTGTCAGCATCATGGAGCTGGCTCACAGGAATGCGATCAGGCATTTTTGTTGAAAAAATGAGACTTCCCTCGATCAACAGTTGATTGAAAATTTTGTTAAACACCTGACAAACTTCCTATCATTTCTTAATTTGAACTTTAATTTTTGAGGATAAAGCCCCAATCAAACATTTTGCTTCTAATTTACAATGAAGATTTTTACTTAAATTTTGTTTTAAGGTAACTCACTAACAGTGGCCCTTTTCTGGAATAATTATCCTGGGATAACAGAGGACGTCCTGGAGATGCCACTGAGACCCACTTTAGTCATGAGGTCCCCAAAGTGGAAAGGAAGGAAAATGTCAACTAGTTAAACCTCTGCCTGAGGCTGGAAGCTTTGCCCTCATGGCTGCTAGCCTGATGTCAGCCAGCCCTGCCCGTCCGCCTCCACGGTTAGGGGCTGAGCAGTTTCTGAGGCTCCTGGTCTAGTGCCCCAGCTCTGGGACATCACGGATTCTTTGAGTGAAGGGATGAAGGAGCACTTCATGCCAGGAGCTGACTCTCAGGATTCCTCACTGAGTGCCCCTTCCTATTATCTCCTCTCCTTTCAACCCGGGCATCTTATCCCTGAAATGTGGTACTTGTCGCCTCACTTCCTGTCACTCTGCAGTCTGGTCCCCTTTCTCCCCTATGGAGTGGCCCAAGGAAATTCTAAACATAGCTCATTAGCCACATCACTAACTGGAACAGAACACAGAGCCCACTGCCCAGAACATCTCTGATCAGCTTCACAGAGTGAGAGGAAACTTATGCACCTTGTTGGCTTGTGGTTTGAGGATTTTCTAATTGATCACAGACTCCTTTGTCTTGCAGGGAAAAGAAGGGGACCCCAGGCTGGTACTTGACGAGTTTCCAGAGACGTGAAGCCATCTGAGGCCCCTGGTAGCTGGCAAGGGTGGGAGACCGAGCGCCGGGCTCTCTGAGTGCAGTGGCCGAGCACACACAGCTGTCATCTGAACTGCCACTTGATGCCGCCTCTAGAGATTCAGTCTAAGCCAAGGATTCCTCAGAAAGAAAGCTGGAAAGATGGTGTCCTGATACAGGGGAATTAAAATAAAAACAAGAAAACACCCCACAAAAGTATTGAACATAAAGTCATTTTGTAAAGTATTTTAAAGCTTTATCATCTTCACCGTGGACATCTGCAAGTACTTGTTGGGTGAGTTTTATCCTTATGACAGGGAGAATCTCCATGAAGACGTAGAAACATGCCGCCAGATGGGGGCTCAAAAGAGCCTGTGGAAGATTCCAGCAGAGAGTTCGCAAGATCCGGTCCAGGGCTCACCAGGGGATCTTTGTTTTGTGGTCTCTCAGATCACAGACCCCACACTCCAGCCCACCACCCCCTTTCACAAATAGAAGATGTTCCTGAAAGACGGCTCAGTAGTAAGAGGTTAAGCACAGCAGGTCCCCAACACTGACAGGAGGGACATGGGAGAGTCAGCATAACATCCACAAGACACATTGCATTGCTCTTCTTTTGGTTTCTTATTTCCACGATCGAGAGCATTTCTGCATGCTGAAAGGTTATGCTGGAAGGTGGGCTGATCAGTTATCACAGTCTGGGATTTCAGCTAAATCATCAGTCTGATGAAAGACAGACATGCATGAAACATGTACAGCAGAGTGGCTAGGGCTGAAAACACCTGAAATCAAGAGAAATGACCATTAATGGGCACGCGTGGGAAGAGGGCAAGGCATGGGCTGTCCACACTGGGCCAGCCGCTCACATGGTGCTCTGTGATGACAGACCTGAAGTGTGTGGACCACTGCTTCCCATCACTCAGGCAGACATCCTTTCTTGCTGACCCAGACGTGGCCCTGAATGCTTTCAGCACAGAGCTCCAGGTGACCTAACGACCCACTGGATGTGGTGTGCAAGGTCAACAATCTGCCATGTCACGTAATCATGCTGGTGCCACCTGGAAATGGGGGTCTCAGAGGCCCCTCAGACGATACTCACAGGCGAGTACCAACTGTTCTCCGTGGGAACCTTCCTTCCTCCCCACCAGGAAGAGCCGGGTCCACCAGCTGTGAGCCCAGCGGCCTCGGTTGGAGAACATGAACACAGGGTTTGCTGGCTCTGGTGAAGGTCTCGATGCTGCCTGGACATCCTCACACCCATCAGAATGTTATTCTAGGATCATAATCTCACAGACACGGGCGAGGAGCCAGGCTCACAGGACTGAGGGACAGGAACAGGGAGGCAGGATTGGGAGATGCTGCAAAGGAGGGGCTCCTGACAAAGCTGCTGGGGAGATCCAGTCGGCTGTTTTGACACTGGGAACAAAGGCCCTGGAAAGGTGGCAAACGGTCACCTGTGGCCTGTCAAGCCCTGACCTGCTGTGCTCACTGGGCACCATCTATTCCTAAAGGCCTGCTGCCCCCGAGTCCAATATCTGCTCGTGGATCTGTGAACTGGGGTGTGGGGTCAGGAGTGTCCAACCAGGCACGACACTTAGGGTGGCTACGCATCCGTGACCCGTGAAAATGCCCACAGACACTAGCCGTCACCTGGCCTGCCCTCTCCCGCCCCACACAGGGCAAACCCTTCACCCTCATTGGCCGGAGGCGGTGAGTCAGCTGAATATTTGATCACACATCTGAGAGAGCTCGTCCGGGAATTCTGAGGCAGCCTGCCTGAAAGGAGCGGTCACCACGGGTGAGCAGCCCCCAAAACACCTCAGCCTGTCAGGTGGGAGCAGGTTACTGTCCAGGCAACTCCAGACCCAGTGAGAACCCTTGGCAGAGGAGCCTCAGAAGTCCCCACAGGAACAGGACACAGAGCTTATTTTCCAAGTGCAAGAAATGGCACCTTGGGGACACGGACAGCAGGGACATGAAGGCACATCTTTATGTTTTCAGAAACCCCTCTCCCTAAATGGCTGCCATTATTGCCCCCCACTGTTAAGATCCAGAAACCTCCTGATTTCTGCAGAAATTTCCAGCTCCCCTCCAAGTCGGCTCTCACCAACCCCAGGGATCCTTTGGTGCAGACACTCTGCTGTCAGCAAACAGGGGAGAGGCTCAGCTCCTGAGGCAGGTCCCAGTTAGGAGTCACAGAGGGTGAGAGGCAGGCCAGATGCTCCCAAAGGCCAGGGGTGTGAGGAGAAGGTCTTAAGACGCCTCCCACATCCTGGACAGGCCTCCCCGAGACCATGGGAGGGCGTGTGATGGCTGAGCAGGGTCTTGGGTTGAACCCTGAGTGACCAGGACTCCTTCCCCTGTGCACGGACACAGCTGATATTCTGAATAGAAAGGCGGGACTTCACATTGAACCGGACTCATATTCCCCTTGATGGTTTCAGCCCAGCGCCCCTGCCTGCTGAGAACATCGTGATTCCTGGTTCTGGCACTCCTGACTCTGCCTGGGCGTGCTCACGTTTCTCCAACTCAGCTAACAGAAAGGGGGACACAATCAATTGTGGACTGGATAAAGAGATGCTGGGATAGTCATGAATGGAATACTCTACAGCATCGAGAATAAACAGTCAGCATCTCTACCCAACAGTGAGATGAGCCTCACAAACCTAAGGCGGAGAGAAAGAAGCCAGAGAGAAAAGACACACTGTGCAATTCCATTCACATGAAGTTCAAAAGCAGGAAAAATCGAGCTGGGCAGCTAGGAATCAGGCCTGTGGTGATCCTTGGTGTGAGTGCACAGTGATGGCAGCAGGACAGGAATGGGGTTTCTGGGAGCTGTTTATGATGCTCTGTTTCTTAAACTGGATGCTTCTTACACAAAAGGGTTCACTTTATGGAAATTCCTCAAGCTGTGCACTTGCATCCTGCTCACTTCTCTGGATGTGTGTTGCATTTTGATAGACAGTAAAAGAGGAGTCAGAACAGGGTAGAGCCCAGTGGTTCTCAACTAGAGGTCTGTCCAGCGGGCAGGGGCATTAATCCACCCCATCTGGATTGTTCCGTCAAGTGCTGACCCACTAGCCATGTTCCATCTACATGTCATTATTGTTGTCTGCAATAATTTCACAGAGGTTGTCAAATGCCTTGCTGATGTCTGTACAGAGACAAGGCTTCCGGGGTTAGGATAGGGAGAGGTAGAAGGCTTTCTAGATGAGGGGGAGATGAAACAGAGTCATTTGAAGGACGATGGAGGAGGCGGGTGACCAGCCTCCCAAGGGAAGGAAGAGCATCCTAGGGGCTGCCTGGCTCTGCTACTGTTTAGAAACCAGCCATCTTGGGAGATGAGCCAATATGGGAGACATTCCCACACTGTGGGACACTTGAGGGGTGCAGGGACCATGAGGTGGCCATGTTGATGGAACTGCACAGTAGGCTGGGAGCTTAATAGGAGCATGTGGCCTCCCCAGGGCAGGGGACGGGCCCACAGAGACCAGCAGAAAAGGCTCTGAGGAACCTTCTCCAGAGCCCAAAAGTGCCTGTAGGATTCTCTTAGCCTCTGCTCTGTCCTCTCCAAAATGGGGGGACGGTACAGCTTTAGCTCCTGGAGGTGACATCCTGTGATCTGTTATTACATTTGCCCTTGGAATTTCCACTATTCATAGGATGACCTCTAGAAATCTGAGGATGGCTATTTCTGAAACTTTTTCTTATTTTTTAAACAATACCCTTGGCTAGAAATACATCTGATATGGTGAGTTAGCACACGTGTGCAAGCCCACCATGCATAGCTCTGGATAAATGTTTTATAAAACAATATATTCTCTTACTCTTGCCATTCTGACCCATTCTATTAAAATAAAATCCAGGTCATGGCCTCACATGACCTCCCCCACCAGTGGGTCTGGCCCCGCAGTGGAGAACGTTCCTTTCAGAGCTCAGAGACCTGCACACACTGTGCACCCGAGTCACACACAGTCGGCCCCAGCGTTTGTTCCGCTGACGGGGTGAATGAGGCTCAAGCCCTGTTCCCCCCAGGGCTCCTGTGAGACCTCGGCAGGAAGCTGTTCAATATCCACAGTCCTCGTGGGGAAGGGACAGGAATGGCCGTCCCATTTCACAGAGGAGCAGGCCGAGGCTCAGGGAGCACAGGGGACGTGCACGGGGAGCTGGTGGAGACGTGACCTCCAGCCCCTCCTCCTCCCACAGGTGCTCAGAGCTGTGGGGCAGGAGACGCCGTCACGAGGAGCTGAGGCCTGATCGCACAGCAAACACCCACAGCTGGGGGTCTGGACTCGCTGGGCCCAGAAGGGCCTCCCCACAGCCCAGCCCAGAGCCAGGGCCTGGGGAGACCCCGGCCACTCGATTTTCACCCCAGGCCCCAGTCTCCCGCCCCTGACTGTGCTTCCATGGAAGACCGCTCAGGGGGCCAGGACACCCAGGGGCCAGACTCACTGCTCCAAGCTGGTGCTGAGGGTGCTGACAGGGCACCTGGCCTGACACCAGCCCCGCCCATTCCTGGTGACCTTGGAGCACGTTATCCTGCTCGTGGTGCCCTGGTTCTCCATCTGTGAAATGGGGATGACACAGCGCCGACACCCCAGGGCTGCTGTGAGGGTTCAATCCGATGGTTCATGGAGAGCTCGGACGGTGCCGGGCATCAGCGGTCACGTCCTCACGCACCTGCCCTCCACAAAGCCCACCCAGGCCCGGACCCTGGGCCAGCCCAGGCCTGCATAGCACAGCCCTGACCGGGTGACAAAGAGAGCCTTGGGCACGTTCCTCCCTTCTCTGGGACTTTTGTCTTCATGACGAGGGGAAGGTCTATTTCATTCGAAAGTCAGTGAACTAAAAACAGAGGGGAGGGCTCGGGCAGCCTGCCGCTCAGACCCCGTCAGTGGGCGGTGGGAGCTGTGAGCACGGGCGGGTTGACTGGGGCACTCACCATTGCAAAGTTTTGAAGGTAATGTTCCTGGTTGAAGTCCAAATCATATTCCATGGTGTTCATGGCCAAACCTTCCAGGACAGAGGCACTGATGTAAATAAAGGCAGCAATACAGTGGTAAGCAACGTCCTGCAGGGTCAGAAAGGGCCGTCAGAGAGTTGGGAGCCCAGATGTGGGGATGTGGGGCAACTGTGGTCCAGCAGGGCCCATCCACCCCACCTGTCCCCACCTGGCATGGCTCACATCCCTTGGTCATCTTCTGCTACTTCCCTTGACACCCCCCACCCCATCCACCATCACCACAACCCCCATCCCCCTCCTCACAGAGGTCGTTGGTCCAGCTGAGTTTCATCTCGCTGGTTTGGGGGCAGAGGAAGGACTTCAGTGGAGAAGGGACGCTGCTCTCCCTTGAGGGGGGATCAAGTGAGGGGGCAGCTTGGGACTGAATAGGCAGAAGTTTGTTCTGGACTGAGAATGTCATACATGGTCACAGTCCTGGTTCCAATCTGGCCTCAGTGACCAGTGCAGGGGAGAGAGGCTCAGGCCATTTCCATTGTTGTTTTCTTGTTGTTTGAGGTTTGTTTTCCAGGGACAGGGACAGGGGCCTCCAGGTATGTTTACAAGCAAAAAAGTACTGGATTGGGGTTTCGAGGAGATGTAATTTGGTGGTGGTTGCACAAGTGCGAGTAGGAGACCGTTTGCAAGTGAGAGGCCTGGCCAAATGGCCCCACCCCTTCCAGGGGACATAAGGGGCAGGGGTCCATGAGTAAGTTTCACCCTTTTCATGGGCCTCAAGGCAGAATTTATGCAGAACAGTGACTCTGGGCGATCTGTCTCTCCAACCAAGTCCCTCTCTGGTGACCCAGCTTTAGAAGCTGTGACATGGAGCTGGGCAGTAAGCATGGCCTCGCACTGGGCAGCCCCGGCCAGCCTCCAGGACCCTGCTCCCAGGAGATGGAAACCAGCCCTCCTGGATGATGGGAGGTGCCAACAGGCCCCTGGCAGGTGAAGGCGGATGGGAGGGGGGTTGGGCAGCTTGTTACCCATGAAAAAGGCAGTCACGCAGGAGGAAGTTGAGCAGACTGTGACAGTCAACCTCTGCCATCACTTCATCCCGACCTCCTGGCTGTAGGGAGCCCTGGGTTGCTGTGCACAGCTCAGAGCTGAAGGCCTGGCCTGCCTAACCTTGGAACATGGGTGGGAGACGTCTACCGGGCAGCGTCACCCAGCACTGGAAAAGCCAGCCCCTCATGGGAGATGGCCCTACCCACCCCCCTCAAACATCCAGGGTTGGGACTCACGAAGATGTACCAGGAAGTCTTCCTGTGGTGGATGTCAATTATATACAGGAAGAGCAGGGCAGTGGTACCCACGAAGCAGAACACAGACACGAACATCACCCAGCCCTGGAACAGAGGGATGGGCACCAGGGATGAGGCGATCAGGATCCACACGAGGCCCCCAAAGACCTGCAGAGGGAAGGGGGGCAGGGTGAGCATCGGGGCAGGAGAGCCCACGCCCAGGAAGGGCCAGACCAGAGATCACACTAGGGCCCGAAGGAGAAGAAAACAGGAAGTGGAGGAAGTGCTCTGAGTGCTGGCGTTGGGGCTGGAGAGAGGGCCCAGGTCAGCCAGGTCTCCTGGGGTGGCCAAGGATGGCATGAGAGCAGCACTCCCCCATCATCACCCAAAGACACCTCAGTTGATGTTCGCAGGGTCAGTGAGCCCCAATCAAAGAGGAGCGTAAGGACAGACATGGGGGTCACAACACCTCTCAGTGCCACAGTCCCGCTCCCCTGTGGACAAGCACACCTCAAGCTGGGACTCTCTGTACTTCTCTTCCTTTTTCCTTCTCCCTCTGCATCCCAATGACAACAGCTGAGCCTCATCCACTGTCCCCATCCGGATAAGGGCTATGCTGCGAGTGGGCTGGGACACAGGGGAGATGGCTTTGCAGTCAGAGGTTCCAAGGTACCGTGATGCTTGCACCATCCTCCTGAGCATCTGGGGGCTGAGGACAAGCTGCTTCCCAGTCCTACGTCCCCTGTGGTGTGGACTCAAGTGGTACCTTGACCTCGTCTCCCTGTCCCTGCTGCCCACCTGCTGGGTAAGAGACGCCTCTTAGCTGAGAAGCTTCAGGAAAGGACCACATTTGGAAGAAAAATCAGTGCAATGAAGAATCTGGATTGATCAAAACTAAGTTGGGCGTCATGAATCAGATCTGGGCATCTCTGCCCAGAAGACTTCCTCTACGGATGAACCTGAGATGGCCTGGAGGAAGGCACATGACAGAGCCAGAGGGACACACTTTACAACTTACAGTAATTGGAGCAAAAACAGTTAAATGCAAACCCTCTGACTGTCACAGATGAGACGCGTGTGTCGACCTCATCTGTAGCTGCCTTTAAGATCAAACAGGTTACTGGGCCTTTTCCATCTTGGGCACTGACACAGGGGCATGAGCCAACAGCTGAGATGGACTAGGATTTAGGAGGCATGAGAGTGTGGCATGGAGAAGAGGGAGTATGGGGCATGCGCATCCTGTGGGCAGAGGCAAAGGCCTAGGACATACTTCTAAGCATCCTTTTCCTGGTCAACTGGTGACCATCCAATGAGAATCCACTCATATGCTCTCAGGGAGACCTGCTCTGCCCCTTTGCAGCATTCACAATACAGGTGTATCTGGTTAGTTACAAAATGTCACTCTCCCCTACCAGGTGAGAGAGGGGGTGAGGTCTCCCTTGCTCACGGCTGACTCTTGGGTGTGGGACACAAGGAAGACCCATCCAGCCATGTGTCAGGGTCCAAGTTAGTTCCCTAGCCTTCAGGGACTCCTGGGAGATGGGTGTGCCCAAACAAGTGGCTGATGGACCAAATCCCAGAGGAGCAGCTGGCGCTGCACATGGAGGGGAGAGCCCTCCGTGATGGAATCCCATGTGGGACCCAGTGGGCCCAAGGTGCTTGTATGTGGCCAATGGACATGGCACTGAGGGACACTAAATGCCACATTGGGAAAACAGTTCTCTTTGTCACTCTCTTTGGTTTTTCTGACTAAGGCAAGGAGAAGGGCTCAGGGGGCAGCCAGGGGTCTGGAGCTCCCCCAGAGCATGAACTCCAAGGACGGGCAGGCAGAGGTGACCTGCAGAAGGGTATGGTTTTTGTTTTGAAGGTAGTGGTATAGTTATTTTGGAAAAAAAATTAACATACATAGGAGGTAAATTAAGGCACAGGGGTACCCGGAAGTGGCACAATCTGAGAAGGCGGCTCTCACACCCTGGTCTCAGGCTCAGTGCCCTGAACCTTGTTCAGCTCGATTCCTCCCCGTGTGGCTCAGTCAGGAATCAAAGGCAGGAAGAGTGAGGGGAAGTCAGAGCGCAGTCCCCACACTGAGTGCTCGTCACAGAGTCCTGAATGAGCGCCAGCGAGACGGGGGCCACAGCTCAGGGCTGAGCTCCCAGCCCCCAGTGCAGAGGGAAGCTTCAAGGTTACCCCGACTCTCCACCTGCTTTGGGTGTGCGCTTCCACCAGTGTGAGGAAGAGTATGTTCCAGCTCCCTAGGAATGTTCCCTGTCACACACACTCACACACACACACACACACGCTCATACACACTCACACCCTTATGCAGATCCCCGGGGTCTATGGTAAGAATTCCATCCACAGGAGCAAAGCCCACCCTGTGCTCCATCCCAGCCCTGCCCCCTGGGACCTGAGGACCCTGTCCCGCCTCTGAGTGCACCACCTTGCAAAGGTCCTTTAAAAATCACGCTGACTTTTTCTTTGTGTGCTTTCTCTGTAGCACTGAGTTTCATGGTAAGATGGAGGGGAGAAGTTCTCTCTCTTAGACAGCTTTAATGAGAGAGAACTCACACACTACACAGCTCACCCATGTAAAGTGACAATTCAATGGTTTAGGATATTCACAGACATGTGCAACCATCGTCTCCAGAGCCAATTTAGCACATTTTCATCACCTGAAAGAAACCCTGTGCCCTTTAGCTACGGCTCCCTCCACCCCTCCCATCCCTAAGGGACCACTGACCCACTTCCCGTCTCTATGGATTCCCCTATTCTGAACTTTCACATGAGCTGAATCATATAATAAAATGTGAACTTTTGTGACTGGCTTCTTTCATTACGCACAACATCTTTCAAGGTGAGAAATTCTCTCTCGAGGGGACCTTTACGAAATATCTCCACCATCACAGCACAGCCCATCGGCCATTCTGACCCACCATGTGGGGACACTGAGTGAATGTGGCTCATCTCTCTGGAGCCTCCAACTGGAAAGACCCGAGGAGCCTCTGTTTCCTAGGGACATTCTCAGAGGACACATGCCACCAGGCCCCGTCTGTCCCAGAAACATATTCTAAGTGACACGTCATGTGAAGGAGATGTCCTCACACAGAGGAAATGGTTAAATCCTGGGGGTTTTGCTCCCAGGAGATGGGCAGTGGGCCTGCCCTGTACCCCTCACAGCCTGCCCAGCAGGTGCCCAGGGAGAAATGCAGGGCAACCTGCACAGGGGACCATCTGGGAGGGGGTTGAGGTGGGTGCAGAACACCCCTGAGAGAGGATGGGTGGAGCAAGGAAAAGAGACGAGGCTGAGAAGAGAGGGTCTATTTCAGCTGGAAGTCTGTGAGCAGCACCCTGGACACAGACACAGCTGCGGTGAGAGCTCCAGTGCGGATGCGTGCTGGAAGGGGTCACAGTTGGAACAGCTGTGCAGGTGTGAAGGCGCGGCTCCTCCTGGGCACATGCCAGCTCCCCCAGCACCTCCACCACGCAGCGTCTGCACGGGCCAGGGGGCACATGAGCCCTGGAGAGGGGCTCTCCCCGCATGTGCTGGAGGGGCTGGAGCACATGACTCGGCCTCTTGGGCCTCAGCTTCCTTGTCTGTAATGGCATTTTGCAGCTGTCTCCCCACACTGCGGGCTGGTGCAAACTGGCTGAAACCATGCAGGTGAGTCTGAAGCTGCTGGCACTGTGCCAGCACCACCCAACAACTGGGGTAGGACACTGCTCACCCAGAAGCCCACAGCCTGGTGGAGACAGACTCAGAGGCAGCCCGGTACAATGCAGGATGATGCCCCGCCCAGAGTGAGCCAAGCAGCCTGGACGAGGGCGTGGAGTCCTGAAGGGAGAGGTGGACATCACTGGCTGACCTGGCCACAGGGTCACCAAGTAGCTCTCCAGGGGGAGGGAAGAGTACACACTGAGTTCAGAGGAGGATGGCACACCCGTGAGGGCTTCAGAAGGCCAGGGAGCTGTGCACGAGGTGGGGGACAAGGAGTGGCAGGAGATGGGGCTCGAGGGAGGGTGAGCCTGAGACAGCACTGATCGCTGGGCCAGTGTGGAGGCCTCCAGGCCCCACTCAGTGCAAAGCTGGGATTCAGCGGGAATCACGGACACAGCCAGCGCCTGCCGCCCTCCCCCTACTCAGTGTGCAGAGAGCACCAGGGAGAGCGGGCGCTGCGCCCACACCCAGGGAGATAAGGCCTCCTGGGCAGGGAGCAGCCCACCCCATCCCGGCCTTAGGACCCCACTGGACAAATATTTCTCAAGAGCAAAGGGGTAGGTGAGGGTTCAAGCATTTTCCTTCCTGAAGAAAACTCTAAGCAGTTTCCAGGCAGCAAATGCTCAGAGACGATCACCTTGAAACATTAGGGACACAAGTGGAGGCAGGGCCTCAGTTTCCCTTCATCTCTGTCTACAGTACAGGACTTCCCACCACCCCCGCCGACCCCTGGGTCACCCTCCACACCAAAGAGGGTGCAGCTGGCTAGGGTGGTCTCAGACAAAGGTCTCTAAGTCGGGTGGCCAACAGTCACCTGGGTGGAGCTCTCTCTCTGGGCTCTGGGTCCCCAAGCTGGAAAATGGGGACAGGGCCTGGGCCAAGGCTCTGTGGTCCTCAGCCCTCAGTCTACACTGGAATCACTGACACACCTGGAAAACACCGATGCCCAGGTCTGGGGCCCAGGGTCTGACTAGACTGCAGAGAAGCAGAGTTACAGGACAGGGAACAGACACCCGGGCTCTTTGTCAAAGGCCTGGGGATGTGTCTCCACAACACGAGCCTGTGGATGATGCTCTGGTGACCCTGTCAGACAGAAGAAGAAGCGCCTGCTGTCTGCACACCCTGCCCGGCTCCGCAACGCGGGCCCAGAGGCTCTGCAGTTCCCGCCTGGACATGGGCAAACTTCCCTCTCCTCCCCGCTCCTCGCCTCCTCTCCTCCCCTCTCCTCAAGCTTCAGTCCCTGTCTTGCCTTGAACATGAGACTAGCTCGACCTTGGGTGTCCTCTAGACGCTGGGACCCAGCCCCAGCGTCTGTGAATGAGGTTGACCTGGTGATCTGAGGCCCCACCCACCCTGGTTTTTCAGGACTGGAAACCGCCCATCTTTAATTCAGTCCAGTTTAGGATGCTGAGCAGAGCTGAGGTTCTCTAAGCACCAAAGATAATGTGCAAAA